ATATATATATCTTTTTTCCTTAGTTTGTTAACTCAACAAATTTGAAAAATATCATTTCTTTAAATCTCTTGTTCCGAAGTTCCTAAATCTTGAACCTTGGTTAAACGTTTTGCCCCTCTGCCTGGTGGACCCTTAGGTTTCGCGAATTTTGGCCGATGTAAATTGATCTTTGGATGTAATTCCTCTTGTAAAAAGTCTTCAGTTAGTTCTCTTCCATCGTCTATTTCAAGCTATATGATCAACATATTTTAAAAGAGAATTATTATGTTGCATTAAAAACTAGAAACATATGATTCTCTTGGTAAAAAAGAAATGTAAAAGAAAACGGAAAAAATGAAAAATAAAAGAAAAAATCTAACTTTATAGGCCTATTCTGTAAGCTGGATATCTTAAACATATCTTAAATTCTTAACTGTAGTTACATACCCATTCAACGCCTGATTCACTGTGCGCTCCTTAGAAACCTATTAAATTCTGTGTGGATAAATCATGATAAAAAGAATTGTTACATGTTACCTTGTTGAAAATCAAAACACAACAAATTGTAAGATTAAATTGCATAATGCTTTATTATTTGTAGCATGTTTAGTATTGGCAAGATATACAATTTATTTGATCATAATGAATCTATAATTATGTACTAACAGGTTGGAAACGAAATTATACTAAAAACTTACAGAATAGGCCTGGTACAATATATTGTAAATTGAAATATTCCCAGGCTATAGTGTGCGTTATGTCTACATATGGAACACATTATTTAAAAATTTTTTTGAGCACTTTGCGACAAGCTTTGCTTTTTCTTGTACAGTAGATACAGAGACATGTGCCAAATTCTATTATTTCTTTAATACATAAAAGTAAAAAATCATTAAAAAGAAATTTAAATTAAAAACATTCTCTTACAGTTATATAAAAATGAAACATTAAAAAATCTTGATTATATTAATACAGAAGTTTGTATCATTTTTAAAAAAATATTAAGTTTTGAGCTTAACTTTTATAATACAAATATATATAAAATATATTTGGCATCAAATAAAAAATAATAGAAATTTTTCAAATAAATGTCAAGAATTTGGCGCACTTCGTTTTATCATTAACTTTGTTAAAATTAGGCCAAACTTCTTTGATAAGTTGTTTATTTGTGTCTTGGACGAAAATTTTTAAAAAGTTTATAAAAAGCTACGAGAGTTAAAAAAATACAGATCATGAAAAATAGAATGCCTCTCGAATATCTTGTTTGCTGACTATTAGATTATAGTCCCATTTGCTATACACTTCGTATTAGGAATGTTTTATAAGAAATCTAGAAATACTTTAGGCAAATACTTTTTAAATAATAACTTATAATAATTAATTCCGTGAAATTAACTAATTGATTTAAGTTAATAAATTGAAATTTAGGAATAGTATATATCTTTATTATTTAGAATAAATTTGATTACACCTTATCTCTTTTATTAAAAATTAAATCAATAGAAAGTTAAAAAATAATTGCAAGGTGTATAGAAGAGGTATATTAGGAAAGCTATATAAATTCAAACACTATACAATTTTTTTGATTGTACAACCAATGGGACATACCAAGATCAGTCTTCATACATATATTTGTGGAATCTAATGTTTTGTATTATTTATAATAGCGTAGAACATTATATATCTCCACAAATATATCCACAAATTAATGTGGCAATTTGCACATTTATCACTCATCTGCTATATTTTCTTATTTATATTTCACAGAAGAGTTAGGTGAGTGGCATCAGCTAACTAGAGCACATGGAATTTTCCCTAACTCTCTAATAATCACATAAGGTATGCAGGTTTTACCACAGATATTTGTTTGAAACACTCTAGCTCTATAATCACTAATTCCTATTTGAGTGTTTGAATGAATTTGAAAGTCAAGCCTTCAAGTTTCACTTAATAAAATTATTAATATAGAGTAAAGAGCATTAATATAGAGCAAAGATGAATACTTAACAATACAATATATCACTTTTTATTGGACTAGGAACTAATTCACACAGTCAACTCACTGGGTTTATTTTTCATATCTGACATAGTAAATATTAAAAATAGCATAAAAATTATATAAACTATAAAACAAGTAAATTAAAGGAACTATGTAGAGAAAAAAATATGTTTATGAGATTTTTCATTAGACATTGGAACGCAATTAAAAAAAATACAAAATCCAATAGAAGGCTTCACTTTCAATGTCAAGCAACTAAATCTCACCATATGACTTCCTTTTTTTTTATCATATGGTATTTTCTGTACTTGTAAACAATTATCCATTACATTATGGTACTGGATCAACAAGAACTACATCTTATGGAGAATTCTACACGTTGTGAGTTTATAGTTATCAAAAAGATATTTTGTTAAAATCTTAACATGACAATTTTGCTCTTTAAAATTTAGAAAAATACATTGTTTGAACTACTCTGAATTGCTACATAGATATACGTATCACTTTGACCAATTATTATTAAATATCAATAAATATATCGCTAATTAATAAAAGATTTATCTCTGTAAAGATGCAACTTTTTTCCATTTAAATCACTTCAGAATAACTGTATAACTATACTGTGCTAATGTTGAAGTTATTGGAAACCAATTACAGCACTTTATACTATATAACATATTCGATTGATTAATATCATATTATCACAAATTTCGAATTTATGGAGGAAGATATTCAATGTGTAAAACATCTAAAATATTTTATAACATGTGAGAAACATTTTAAAATGGCAGGCAAAATACGTAGAATCGGTTAACTCAAGATACAAGATCTCTTCTGTTTTGACTTTTTCTCAGGTATAGATTGAGGAGGAGCATAAGGCGTTGATGGAGTTGCAGGAGTTATTGTAGCTGTTTCTTTTATAGTTGGAGGATCTTCCAACATATCTGCCAACTCCTCACCACTATTTACTTCCAACTAGGATTCATCAAATTTTTGAGAAAAAAAAGAAAGAAAAAATTTAATTTCAACATTAATCCACATAGGAAGGAAAGACTAAAAACAAAAAGTACTACATAATGCATCTAAAAATAAAATATTCACTAATATTAATATTTGTCTACATCTTTTTTTAATTTTACTTAAATTATATTCCTTATTATTATATATTAAAATAAATATACAATTCAAAATTTAATCATTTAAAAATCATAGAGATTCTAATATGATTTACCGATTTCAAATGTTCCTGTTAAGATGTTCATGCAAAAACAAATTAATTAAAGTAAAATAAATTAGAAGATCTTTTTTATGCTATGAATTTTTATCTGTATACTTACTTTTTTTGCTATAATCACTCCAAGTGATTGAATAAGCTCTAGAAGGGGTGCTTTACATGATGAATATAGCATTCTTTCCTTAATACTGCAACTATATCCTGGCATGCTATATATAAAAACTACAACATAAATAAAAATACATTATTGATTAAAACATTAATATTTTTATTTTTATGACATACCTATACACTCCATATAATCTCCTTCATGTGTGTGCTTAAAATTATAGAGATGATATCTAGCAGAATCACATGGTACTTTTGTAGGTAGTTTATCCAATGAAACATCACAAGCCATAACTAAATGTATTTTTTCCTCTTCTAAATCAATCTTTAATTGAACATATTCATGTATACCTTTACCAAGCTCTGTAATTGCTTGTTTTGCCTCATCTGTCACAGGGAAAGCAACACCACTCAATGTCTGATGCCGTGTTTCTACACTATAATCAGTAGTAACTGTATTTTTTCTAAGTTCTGCTAATTCTTCTTCTGCAGTGGTTAATGGTGCTGGTGCAGCATTATTTCTTTTATATTTATGATAACCCTCTAATGATATATCCTCTGGTACAGTACCATGCAATTCTTCTTTTATAGATGCAGTTCCAAATTCTTGTTTCAGAGTTGCTTTAGTTGATGCATATAACATCTTTTGCCTAACAGGTGCAGTATCAGGTGACCAGGAAATAAATAACCAATCATAACCAGAATCAGGAGATTTGGTATCAAGACGATAAAGAATATAAGCAGGTTGATTCTCAATGATTAAAGGTTTGATCATTTTATCATAATCATCTTGCCACTTGTTCACTGGTTTTGAGGAAGCAGCAGGTGTTAGTTCCTCTATGAAACAAAAAAATTTCTTCATTTGTGAAATTTGCATTAAATCATATACATTATGAATACACAAAAAACTTACCATTTTCTATAGAAACTTTCAAGATCCGTATTTTTCCATCTCGACATTTTGCAAATAACTTTTTAAGTGCATCGTTCGCTAAAATAAACAAATGATCGTCATATCATCCCAATGTCATAAAAAGATTGAAAGAGCCTAAATTCACAAAAATTTCTACAAAAATTACTGTATAGTATTGATATTACAAGATAACAAAAATACCTTTAATTCCCGTTTGATGTGACATGGTCCGTGAACAATTCGGGTTCCAATGAAAATATGGTAGGGAACTGATTACGCTTCTTCCAACCTCTCGAGATTAATCACGAACCACAATTCACCACCACAAACCACGCGTATAAATAATTAGGAAATGGAGAAAAAAATTATACAGAATCCGAAATCAAGAGAAATCACCAGCACAACCTATCTACAAAAGAATTTTTCGGGAGGATCCTAGCAACAGAGAACTGTACGTCACACTAGTGAACACTGACGAACGATCTGTCAAGAATGTTCTGAATGCAATTCCAATTTATTATTCTTTTGAATAAAAGAAGGAAGGAAAGGATGAAAGAATGGAAGAATCACAGATAATTACGTTTCAATTATAAAATAGAATTTATATGATTACTAAAATAAATCAGAATTTTCAAAATTTTGCAACATTACTTTTACTCTTTATTTGTATAGATTGACTATATACACTCTTTAGTTCCGTTTTCAAACTTAATTGTGTTTTTTATTTATAATCGAATTATTTTATTATTTCGATTATATTTTAAGTATTACAACTTACAATATCAGAATAAATATTTGTTACAGTCATTTATGTTATATAATTTTAGATTAAAATTAAAAGTTTTGTAATAGCATTTGCGTTTGAAATGCATACGTAATTCGCATGTTCTGAGAGTCTCTTAAGATGGCGTGCCATCACCGTGTCAGATGTATGTTGTGATTATTTCGATGCATTAAAAAATACGTGTAGTTTGACAGGTTTCACTTATATCGCAGTTGATTGTATTACGAATATTAATAAAAAACTTTTAATCCTGTGAAGCTTCGGATAATATTGTTATGGAAACCGACAGACGATCAGATTTATACGAAGAATGGAAAAGACGGGTAAATAATGTAACTTTTGCCGCAATTGTTGCAATTCATTTTGGATGAAGTGCAAATGATGATATTATGATATAATAATTCAGTCTATTTCCAATGTTCAAAAAAAGCATGATATTGAAACAAGCATTTATAAAGTTATAAATTAATTTCTTTAATCATTGTCAATTAACAAATTAAACTATTAATATTAATATGTGTTGATTTATTTACCAACTAATTAAATAACACTGATTTTACTTTTATTTTAATTCAGTTTTAATAATTCTTTAAATATTTAGAATGATAATATTCCAGGCTTTTCTTGGTCCACTTCCCCAAGGATTCCTAAGATTGGAAAACTTGCGCTTCATCAACTGCAAATGCAAAATATGCCAGCAATGCACGAGCCTTATGTTGGTAGACTTAGTATAACAATTGTTCAGGTAATTCTATGACTTTCATGTACATGTATGAGTCATTTCAGTTTTATAAGGTAGCAATGTATGTTTTGTAATAACATTTTATTCATAATTTCAAAAAGATACTTACTGTAGGCTAAACTTGTGAAGAACTATGGAATGACAAGAATGGATCCTTATGTGAGATTAAGAGTAGGTCATGCAGTATATGAAACACACACATGTTCAAATGGAGCAAAAAATCCGCATTGGAACAAAGTTATACAATGGTGTGTAATTTAAACAGTTTATATCACTAATTCTATTTACTCATTGTACCTATTTGTTCTTTTTATTATTTAGTTATTTGCCACCAGGAGTCTCACAAATATATGTAGAAATTTATGATGAATGTTCCTTTGTAATGGATGAATTAATTGCATGGGGGCATATAGATATTCCATCACAAGTTCTCCAAAAAGGAGAAACATATGAAGATTGGTATATGCTTAGTGGAAAACAAGGAAACAATCAAGAAGGAGTGATAAATTTAGTTTTTAGTTACACGGTAAAAATAATCAATAATATATCAAAAAATATATGTTAATTTTGATAACATAATCATATATAATTTGTTAAATATTAATGAATTTTTAAAGTTTGATTAATAGTTTATTCAATATATTTTAATAGAATAAGTGCCATCCAGCACCTCCAATTATGATGGTTCCTTCTTCGACAATGTTTGGCATGTCACAATATGCACCAGTTAGTGTTTATACAGCACCACCTACAGCTGCAGTACCACCTGTAGTTCCCAGTTCTATGCCAAATGCTGAAGTTGAATTAAAACAGGTAATGTAAAAATAAAATAATTTTCTATTTCCTATAATATAGCAAGTTTTTTAGATTTCAGAAATGTTCCCAAACATGGACAAGGAAGTAGTAAAATCAGTCTATGATGCAAATAATGGAAGAAAAGATGTAACTATAAATTCATTACTCCAAATGTGTGAATAAGTAATTTTTTATGCAAATTACTATTTAATTCCAAAGGCCATATTTGTATTTTCTGCTATGCTGTATTTCTTTTAAAATGTAATATATTTGCAAATTATTGCTATGCATTTTATGGTACATCAACACTTAGTAACTTAAATATAAGAGTATTCATAGAATATATTGGTCAGGGAAATATATTTTTTAAAGAAATATCTCTTTTAACCTTTTATATATTCATTGATCCTGCTTACATTTTTTTCTTTTTCTTTTATACAATTATATGCGTTTTATGCGTGTATGTTTATATATGTAACATAAAAAAATTTCAGTTTTTTATAGTTACCCAAGAAATTTAATTTTTATTAATAAGATTCTAATTAGATTTTATGGTTTATAAATAAAAAATTAAAAAATTATAAAGGATATGTTAATATAAAAAATAAACGTGTACATTTATATTCAAATAGAATATATTGACGAATAATTAAAATATCAATCTAATTTTAATTAATCCTTGTATGAAAATTGGGTCATTTTATTCGAAAAATATTATAATTTATCGTTTATTAATATATTATTAGGATTGAAATTCCTTCATGTTTTTAAGTATTTATTGACTAATAATAATTACTACAGAAAGAAGTATAATTTAAATTATTTTTGTAATTAAGGATCTTTTATACATGCTCAGGGATCTGTATGTTAAATCGACTCAAAGTAATATAAAACTTGTTTTATTTTGATGATTTGTTGTTAATTGCAAAACAGTAAGTTTATCATTTACACTGTGGTATTGCACCATTTCCCGATATTCGAGATTTTAACAAAAAGAAAACTAAAATTATTTAACTATTTTAGTAAAATTAGTAAAACCAAAATAGCAATGAATACATTAGATCATTTAATTATTAACTATAGCTCTAAACGCGAAATAAATTTTCAATAAAATTTTATTTTTCTAAATATATTAGAGATGCTAATATATAATGTTTACATGTAGGGTGCAATTTAAAGAAACTACGATATCTGGATAAAAAGTTTATATAGTAGAAGTAGGAAATACTTTGTGCAAAAATTCTGCAACTTTGTATACATGTCTTAATAATAGTATATTTATCAAAAGTGGGGAAAAAATGTCTAATATACATAATGAACAATGAATTATGTATGTACATATATAATCCATTGGATAACATTAAAATTATATTTTGAAAATTTTTTAAATTATAGAAATATTTTACTATAACAATTACACGTATAAAATGTAGTATTCACAAAAATGGAATGACAACTGTCAGTTTTGCTACATAGATGAAAACAGTGTTTGTAATTATTCTACTGAATGTAAATTAATAATAACTCTATGAATTGTTAGATGCTTTAATAAATTGTAAAAATTATTTTATATTCATCAACAATAAAGAAATATTTGCTAATCGTGTTCTTTAATAAATATAGTATTTTCGATCAAAATCAGTCATTTTTAACTTATGATAAAAATATTCATTTTCCTTCGCATTTGTAGTTTCTCTTTGTTTTTCATATAATCCCTATCCCAAAAAATATCACGTACTAATAACTCTTTGAAATATTTAATAACTGTAAAAAACTAACTTGACCACATATAAAAATATGTATTTTGCCAATGTGGTAGGTACTTCTTTATTGGCTCTGTTAAAAATTTAGCAAGAGGCACTTTAGTAGAAAGTGCAGTTAAAATCGCATATATCCTAATACAACTATATTTATCATAAAATGGAGACTTTAATATATAGAGGAGTAAACCAATTCTACGTCTGAAGAATTCTTTCTCTTCTTCTTTGCTAAACAATATACTTTCTGCCTCATTATTAATGAGTTTTAAACTGCAAAAGAAATTTATTTTTTATTTTACACAATTTAATTATTTTAATTCAATTATTCAATAAATTTGATTTTTTACCTAAGTAAATCAATAGTAAGTGATAATAACCATGGTGGCCAATATTTTTCACCAGTAAAAGATATACATCCTAAGTGGAATAGTGGTTTCATAATGTAAAGAGTCTAAAAATAAAATACAAAATATTAATAAAACAAATATTTTATAACTATTTTATTTAAATGATCTTATATATATTTTTACCTCAGCTAATGCTAAATTCTTTCCTGATGTAGGTTTGCTCAAATTATCATCATCATTGTCATTGGAAAATAATGGTTCCCAAGTACGCATAGATGGACAAGTAGCACCTCTTACACTCCTAACAATAGTGCCAGATCGTTTCAATGCAAATCCTTCCTTTAATTGATTATTATGTGAGTCATTCAACTTTTCTCTGTTAAGTGGTTGTATTGGAGGACTTTTTATTACACGTTCCTTATATAAGTGAATCAATAAAAGTCTTAACATAGTCCTATAAAAATTTCATTTACATATATTGATAAATATAATAAAAAGAATATTACCTAAACCTTCTTTTAATACTAGAACTGCCAATCTGTAATATGTGTTTTAAGATAGTGTATACAGATAACAATAACAAAGATGAAAATGAATAGGTACATGGAATTATGTTTCCATATCAATAAAACTTAAAAATAATTTGATCAAAAGTAGTTGCATTTTTTCAATAGTTTCAAAAACAAAATAACTGAAAACAATCATTTTAACTGATTTGATAATTTTACTGTTAATATTTGTAAATAAATATTAGATTACTTACTTAAATATTTGAATGACAATAATTATAAACCATCTCCCTGTCTGTCCCCATAATTTTTTTGCAGAAATTTCACAAAGAACTTCTGTATATTCTATTACAGTCAGCCAAATTTTGATTTTTGATTCAAACTGAGAAAACTTTAAATGCACACATTTCCCACCGCACATTAATAAATCATTGAATAGCACTATCAAGTTCGAAAATGAATATAATAACTCTGATACAAAGGTAGAATTATTAAATTGACCTAGAAATAATTTGTTTAATGAATATCAATGAAAAAATCAATGTGTTGTTATAAAAAAATTTCTAACCAGCTGTAAAATAAGGTAAATACTGAACCGTATTTTCCATGTCAGATAATAATTGTGGATTCTCTATAATCCATTTTCTGTACGGTTCAATAATTTTTAACACGGAAAGATTTACCATGTCCAATACCATCCTGATCTGTTAAATAATTTAATACAACTTCTACGAATGAACAATGATAATTAACCTTGTAATAATAACATATAATCTTGTATTTTTTATAGTATAGAAAAAAATTATCGATTCTTTCCGATGGATCGAAGATAAATAATTCTTCCTTTTTTTTTTTTTTTTTTTTTTTTTTTTTTTTTTTTTTTTTTTTTTTTTTTTTTTTTTTTTTTTTTTTTTTTTTTTTACGTACAGGGTGTTCCGTTATTAGTGGTATTTTCATAAGGTACCATCTCCTGCTCAATTGTACCACTAATTAAAAAATACGAACATTTATAATACACTATATTATACAAATAGTATAATACAATTTAGTTAAAAGAGTATAATTATGTATGTAACATAGTAGTTAAAATTTTTAACAGCTTCCATATCAATAAACATAAAATAAATAGCAAATTGCTCATGTTTATAAATACAAATACAAATGGAAATAAAAATTCAACAACTTGAAATTTACATTTAGTATATGTGTACTTGATAAATTTTCAAACTCAGTTTTCTCGAAAATGAAGTTTATATATGAAAAAAGTTTATTTTTGCTTTTCAATTTATTTTATCATGGGGTATTATCTCTTACCTGATTATTCCACTCGTAACGAAACACCCTATATAATAATAATATATTACCACAAATCTGTACTTAGATTTCAAACATGCAACTCGTTGCAAAAGAATATATAAGACATATTAAAAATATAAATATTTTATAATATATTTTTTATTTTGAAAATTAATTATGTGAAATTAATTATGTAAAATTAAGAAATTTTAATATCATATATTTTAATTATTTTAAATCTGTATTACGTTAATTTTTTTCACTAAAATAATAATTTATCAAATAACTGAAGCTAATTTTTACTCATTTCTTAGCATATGTAATATTATAAAATTAATGTTTTTATTACAAATTACAAATGAACTTGGTAAATAAACTATACCAAACAAAATGGCTATACGGCATAAAGTTTTGTACAACATACATTAGGTTGTATGAGGTCATAGTAGTCTAATTCTTATATTAATAATAAGCAGATAATTTATATATAATACAAATTTATTTATATTTATATATAATTAGCATTATATAATACTTATAATAATATTATAATTCATAATATAGTATTCGAATAGAGTATTCTAAATCCACGTGCCTAGATTATTTGTAATACTTCGTACTAAGTATATTTTATATCAATTTTCGTCGTGAATCATGAGTGAAAGTATTTCATTACCGACAGCCTCAGCACTTTTACAAAATATTGAAGATCACGAAGAATATCAATATTTAAATTTAATTAATAAAGTCATTAAAAAAGGAGTAAAGAAAAGCGATCGTACAGGAGTAGGCACATTATCCATTTTCGGGACTCAGATGCGATTTAATTTACGAAACAGTAAGAAAATTAAATTAATTAATATTAGCTGAAAAATATATCAATTTCCTATAGGAAAATTTAATAGTACATAGTAATTTTATTTCATACATTTGTAATTCTCTCATATAACATCATTTTGTTTTATTTATAATAAAGTTCATTATAATAAGATATATTATTTATAATAAGACATTAAAATAATTATTATAGATATAATCCCACTATTAACAACAAAACGAGTATTTTGGAGAGGCGTTGTGGAAGAATTGTTATGGTTTATTAGGGGATCAACAAATGCAAAAGAGTTAAGTGAAAAAGGTATTCACATTTGGGATGAAAACAGCTCACGTGTGTTTTTAGATTCTTCTGGTTTTACAGATAGGGAAGAAGGAGATTTAGGGCCTGTTTATGGATTTCAATGGAGACATTTTGGTGCAAAATATATAGATATGCATGCAGATTATAATGGGCAAGGTAAAACAATAGTATAATTCCTAAACTTAATTATACAAATTTAATTACCTGTACATAGATAGAAAGATTTATCTGTATAGGTATTGATCAATTGAAGGACGTCATAAAGAAACTACAATATTCTCCCAATGACAGAAGAATTATAATGACTGCATGGAATCCAGCTGATATTTCACAAATGGCCCTACCTCCCTGTCACTGTCTTGTTCAATTTTATGTGAATGATAAAGAGTTATCATGTCAACTTTATCAAAGAAGTGCAGATATGGGTCTTGGAGTACCATTTAATATTGCATCTTATTGTCTACTAACTCACATGCTGGCACATATTACGAATTTAAAGGTAAAATTACATGAGAAGAAAAGAATTAACAAATTTTTTAACAGAAACTTGTATCCTTTTGTTTATTTTTAGCCAGGTGAATTTGTACATACAATAGGTGACTGTCACGTATATCTCAATCATGTATCCGCACTCGAGGAACAAGTAAAACGCGTGCCAAAATCATTTCCACATTTAAAGATCGTTAGAAATGTTGAAAGTATTGACGATTTTACAATAAACGATTTCGAACTAATTGGATATGAGCCACATACAAAAATTTCAATGCCAATGGCCGTGTAATAATGAAATTAAAAAACGAATTACTGACACAAGCTTATGTACGTTTTTTTATATAGAAGAAGACTTCATTATTAAGAAAATATATATCTAACTGATATTAAATCGGTGAATGAATATATAATTCATATAGCATTATCATATTTCAACCATATCTAAATTTTATTTTCTAATAAAAATTCTTTTTTCTTAATAAACTCATATCTTAATTTAATATCTTATATTATCTTACATTATATAAAATACATTATATAAAATATAAGATAATATATAATATATATATACATATACATATATATATATAATATATATTTTTTTAATTATTTATATTTATATCAACTTTTTTCAGTGGTCCATACATGTCTGTTACAGCTTTAAGAAGTATAAATCATAATTACTTCACCACTTTTTGTACGACAGAAACAATTAACTAAAAGAAGATTTTCAAAAGGATGTAACTGACAAGCATGGACAACAGGAAGCTTTATGTAAGCATCTTTTAAAATTTAACAAAATTATCTTATTTTTATAAAATATATAAATCCAATATTTTCAGTAATTATGTACGTAAATATGTACTAAAAATATTGTTCTCTCGCGTAGTTATTGCAGAAAATAAAATTATTTCTAATGTTTTAAAGCAATATTTTAAATAAACATGTTACTCTTAACTTCATTTAAAAATAATCAAAGGCATTTAAAAAAAAAGAAAAGTGGTTGAAAAATGTCTCTGAACATATGCTGGCTAGCACATCTCTGCATCATTAGATGATGAAGCACTTAATTGATGCAGCTGCTGAATAATGGCCAGAGTACCACTTTCATTTACTGTAATTGTTATCCAAATAACATCTAAATAAATGTAAGAGATTATTACCACAATAATAATAATATTATAAATGTGCAACAATAAGAAGGTAAATGAATTTACCTCCAAAAAACGTTTCTGTAGATTTTACCATCAACCTCCATTTACTTTGAAATGTACCACAATGTGGAGGACTTTGAAGATCCACGCTCACCTCTGTTACTTCTCCAGGACCTAAAGATGGTATTGGTACTCTTGTACATACACCCATTTGTACTCCACCTATATATTGTAAACACACTCCTTCAGGCCATGCTTCTTTACCATGGTTTTGTATATACCATGATTTTCGAAAATTAGTAAGTGGTGGTACAGATTCTCCTCTACCAACAGTGGTTTCACATATCAGCATCATACGAGGAAATTGATTTCGTACTGGAGATGCAAAGTCAAAGTAACTACATATAGCTGCTTGAAGGTTCCTGCAATTGTATATAAATTATTTATATATAAACATACAAGCATACATACACATTATTTATACTTATTCCTTTATGAAATTGAAACACTTTATTAATATCTTTAATATCTTAACAAATATCTATTGAAACTTATTGCTCCTGCTCTTGTAATTACAATTTTAAGGAATAACTTAATAGTATTCCTAAATTAACCATGCTTTTATTAATCAATCATTTCATTAAACATATAGTTTTTGTAGTATATTACTTAATCAATTATTCAAGAAAATTATATCCTAACCAGCTGTCAGTAGCATAAAGAAATAAGAGTAAGATAATACCACACGTAAACACGGTGACGGTAGGGTTAGGTCGCACGACTAACTTGACCAACGTAAAACAAACATGCGGGAGAATATCTCACCAATTATTCATATCCAGGAAGAACGCAGCGGTAGTTTCGCTCAGCTGGCTATCAGCCAGCAGCTTCTGCAGCTGCTTCACCAGTTCATCTTTGTCGGTGGTGCCTAGACAACTAAACTGGTGAAGCAAATGCTGATCCACGTTATCCATGTTCATGATGCGTTTTGTCCCTTGATCAGTACTCCATGTAATGCAAGTGTCATATACACTCGGACCTGTAAGACGCGTTATCGTCTGATCTTTAACTGCAAATTTTAAATGTCATTCTTCATGACGTTCATCCGTGCGCAGTGAGTGCATGCATCTACACAGTACATTCTGTACAAAAAGTGTAATGACTATATGAGTACAGTCCGTCAAAGGTAGAATCCACCTCTGATAATTTTTGTCCCTTTGTGCTATGATATTACCTTGACCTCGAACACTGCTAATCACTGTGTTTTTATAGCAGATAAATAAATACGCAAAACGGCCGTCGATCTCTTGCGAAATCGACTCGTCCGTTTCCTTAACACAATTGTACGTAGATGCAATTAGAGTTGCATACGTGCAGGGGTTCTACGCACTTTAATTATTTATATATATATTTCAATTAAAATATAAGATTAATTTTTTTATTGCTTTAAAATATACAAATAATAATTTAATATAGAATATAACGACTTGAATTTTTAAATTGTCAATAATTACATTAGTAATGGTTGCGAGAAGATTTAAATTTTTATTAGCAACTGTTATAGGTGTAATATTTGAAATTAGGATATAAGTAAATCTAACTTTCATTATTTCCCATATCACGATTGAATGATAATAGAATGGAATATATTTTTTTCCAAAAGCTATATTTGACGAAACTAAAAATGCAGAAATTTTTAATTATACAAATATTTTGACTTTTTTTTATTTATATTAATATTTTTATTAAGTAAAAAATGGAATTTCGTAATGCTACATTGCAGAAATGAAATACATTTTTCTTGAAACAATATAAAAAAACGAAGTTCGGAAACAAAGTTTCCAGATTGTTGAAAAATTCTGCTGCTTTTTTATACAGATAAAAAGCATTAGTGTTGTAATATCTTTCTGAGTACTTTATACTTTTTTTAAAGATTAGATAAATACCCTTTTAATATACATATTTTTCTCAGTCAATGTATAAATGTATGAATGTATCAAATGTATCGAATTTGAAATAAAATCTATATTCTTCGCTTTTTATATAAATAATATTAATTTATATTTCTTATCCTATATATAAATAATCGATATAAATTGTTTTTTGATATTGCTAAAATTTATGAAAATGTTATATTTAATAAAATTTTCTATTCCTGTTGTGCACACGTCCCTGTACACTAAATTCTTATTGTCGTAGTGCGCAGGTCTCGATGTTCCCTCCACTTCGGCAAGGAATTGGAAATGCGTGCGCATCACGCCGCGTAATAGTTGAAATACGAAAGAACAGACAGTCGTGGTCCGAAGTTGATCATGTAGATATTTCAAAAACGTCCGATCGCAAGGTAATTTCACGTATAAAGTGAACAAAAAAGATTCAGTGCCGATTGAAAACGGGAGTGCAATTCGCAATGAGACATCTTTGAACAGTGTGAACCAGTGGCTACATTCTTTAGTCGCAAGTTCCTTCACCGATAATTCAAAACTTTTTTCAAAGAAAAACGAGTTCGGGGATCGATGAAACGTTCAAAATCTATAGAAAATTATTTCTTTGTTGACATTAGGGTATCGTGATGAAAGTCGGAACTTATTTTATGATTAACAAATCCGTTTCGATGATCGTGGAATAATTGGTTTAGCTTCGTCGATATTGAAATACTGAAAGAATCGAGGTAAGTATACATGCCAATCATGATAATGTGACTGACTCGAAGCAAATTGGTATTTAATAATTCGTATTATTTTTATACGTGAAAATTCTGTGAGATTTTAAAGAAGATTCTATAAATTAATTTTAACCCACGACACGAGTTTGATATTTTACTTAATTTTTTAAGTTACCCTCTTATTAATTTCTTATAGATTTTCCTTAATTTTTTACCTTTTCATATGGAATAATTTCGAATATTGTGCATTTTCATCTATTTTACGTTTCTTTTGTCTATACGATAGTCTGTAGTATTTTGGAAGAATTATTTTTTATTTATTTCCTTTCTACTACGAATGTCTTTGTTTCTTATCTCTTTTCATTGCATTACACGAACGATCTCATTACACGAATAATTTTATAACTATACATTGTTCAAAATCTCAGAATACAGTATTACAGGCAATTCTAAATTTCAAAACAAATGCACCTTAAAGATTAAAGAACTCTATGTTTATTGTACGTTAATATAATTTAATATTAATAGTATTCTCATTTAAATAAACAATTGTACTTTCCTGCTTGTGGAATAAAAAAGATTAAAACTAAAAAAAATTTTAATATTACGAAGCATCGCACTACACAAGGGTAAGACATCTCTCTTCAATGTATCACGATATATTAAATACACGTTAAATATGTTAAATTTATGTTCTTATACGAGAATTAGGTTTACTTCGTATTTATATAGAAACTGAACTAAAACTTACCTTCAACAGTATGATCGGGCCGTCTTCTGGCACTGGCGGTGTCGCGGAACACGAGTTATCGAATAATCAGTCTCGTGCCGGGAAGAAGCGCATCTTTGAGGACTTAGACGTGGAAGGCTTTTGCGAAGAGGTTCAGAACGGTCGCAAACGATACCCGTACCAACAAATTGAGGATTCAATGGAAGTAGTCGCCTCGAATCAAGCGATAGGCAACACCGCGACCATATTCTCACCATTGTCGGCCCAGGAAGCCGTAGAGGAATGTCCAGTGACTCGATTAGAGGTCCTTCTCGTAGACGGCACTAATTGCACCTGGACAACCGTATCAGAACTGGAGTCCCAGCAACATATTGCTGAAATTGCGGCCTCACCCTCAACGTCTTCCTCGTCATCGGAACATAGACAGGAACAAGTAATTCAAGAGGTTCAAGTTGAAGAAACGAACTATCCCATTAGTTCTGGTTATTGGGAGCCTGTTATCACAATCCCACCCTCCAATATACAACAGAGCAAGCCTGATGTGCCTTCTAGTAGTCATCAGCAGCAACAATTTGATGATCAGGAGACTGGAAACCTTTCTTGGTTACTGGATTTTAAGTTGGACTCTTTCATTGAGGCTGCAGATGAAAAGTCTACTATGCCTTCACCCAAAGACATTTATAGTGGTGTGAAGCAATTCAAGGAGCTGTTAATTAACCCTTTATGTTTATTGTTTTACGTTTGACGTATATTATGGGATTTATGTGAGAGTAAAATATAGAACATAACAAAAAAGATGTATATATGTATTGAACATTAAGCATAAGGGGTTGATTTTATGTATTTATAGAATCATCTGTCAGTATGATTTGAAGAAATCGTTTATCCCTTTTGTTCAGGTAACAAGACGAAGATAAATGGACGTTCTTATGGTACTACCTACATCAGCGATGTCAAAAAGAGTTTTAACGAAAATGGATCATTGCATCGAGACTCAAATCATAGTTACTCCAGCCTTGACAATAGGAATTTTACGTCTTCCCGATGTAATGGTCCTAAGAAACCACCTTTCACGTATACAGAGCTCATTGAACACGCTCTTCGAGAAAGAGGGGAACTCACGGTGTCTGCCATTTATCAATGGATTTCGTGAGTACTTTTGAAAAGTATTTAATATTCTTTCTACTTCGAGTTCACAAATTTTAAGGATTTCGTGCAACATTATATTTTTATAAGACACAAAGAAGTATTAAATTATAAAAATTCTTTGTTAGAATAAATCTACTATATAAATATTGTCCGAAATTTTCCATAAATATAAGACCTTATGAGTATCGTACTGAAATTCATTTATTATACTAGAAAGTGGATGATAAGTTTTTAGATTCTAAACCAATAAGGAAGTAAAATTATTTGTTAAGAAGATGTTGTGGAGGAGAGAGAATTGGAAATGAGTTCATGGGCTTGATTATCTATATTATCGTTTTCCACAAGTCTACGATCGAACAGGTGAAAGCATAGAGGCAGTAAATTGCGCGCATTTGTGTTGGTGTAAGGGAGGGGGAGGGTTAAAACGAGCAGGAGAGCCGGTACCAGTTGGTACCATCACGTGGTGAGGGCAGCGGTGCCAAGGGGTACCATCTAAGAACTCGATCCTCCCCGACAAACTACCCCTCATCGACACAGACCACGTTCTCGTAAATTCGTAGAAACTTGTTTCCTACATTTCCTACGGTTTAAAGGAGAACGATATATAGAATGTATAGCATATTATGTTTGGAATGAGTCATTTCAAGGGGTAAATTCGATACAAAGTGATATTTTTATAAACATATTTGAACTTGATTTTATTTTGCGTCAAATTTTATCTTTTAACTACTTAGATTTTACATGTTATTAATATCGATAATTCAACAAAGATGGAGTTCGATGTTACAATTGATACTACAAATTTGAACATTAATTAATTGTTATTGATAACTGACGAGTTTTTGTAAATTAAATAACATGAATTTATTTTACTATTTTTGATTCTCTAGCAAATTTAATAACGTAGAATTTGAAAATGGTTATTAACTAGTGAATATTCGGTGAACAAAATCACCATTTAATGTTTTATGCTTAAGGCGTTTTATCGAGTCCTTTGTTTTTTTTTTTTTTTTTTTT